ATAATAATAAAATTATTTGCTTTTATTTTCAAAAATTCGCAATAAATATTTGAAATTTTTGCAAACGCATAGAAATTTCATCACAATATGTACAATAGATAGATAGATAGATAGATAGATAGATAGATAGATAGATCGCTAGATAGATAGATAGATAATAGATAGATAGATAGATAGATAGATAGATAGATAGATAGCTAGATAGCTCGCTCGCTCGCTCGCTCGATCGCTAGCTCGCTCGCTCGCTCGCTCGCTCGCTCGCTCGCTCGCTCGCTCGCTCGCTCCTCTCTCGCTCGCTCGCTCGCTCTCGCTCGCTCGCTCGCTCTCGCTCGTCGCTCGCTCGCTCGCTCGCTCTCTCGCTCGCTCGCTCGGTCGCTCGCTCGCTCGCTCGCTCGCTCGCTCGCTCGCTCGCTCGCTCGCTCGCTCGCTCGCTCTCTCGCTCGCTCGCTCGCTCGCTCGCTCGCTCCTCGCTCGCTCTCTCGCTCGCTCGCTCGCTCGCTCGCTCGCTCGCTCGCTCGCTCTCTCGCTCGCTCGCTCCTCGCTCGCTCGCTCGCTCGCTCGCTCGCTCGCTCGCTCGCTCGCTCGCTCGCTCGCTCGCTCGCTCGCTCGCTCGCTCGCTCGCTCGCTCGCTCGCTCGCTCGCTCGCTCGCTCGCTCGCTCTCTCTCGCTCTCTCCTCGCCTCTCGCTCGCTCTCGCTCTCTCTCTCTCTCGCTCGCTCTCTCTCGCTCGCGCTCGCTCGCTCTCGCTCGCTCGCTCGCTCGCCTCGCTGCTCGTCGCTCGCTCGCGCTCGCTCGCTCGCTCTCTGCTCGCTCGCTCGCTCGGTCGCTCGCTCGCTCGCTCGCTCGCTCGCTCGCTCTCTCGCTCGCTCGCTCGCTCCTCGCTCGCTCGCTCGGTCTCTGCTCGCTCTGGTCGGTCGGTCGCTCGCTCGCTCGCTCGCTCGCTCGCTCGCTTCGCTCGCTCGCTCGCTCGCCCGCTCGCTCGCTCGCTCGCTCGCTCGCTCGCTCGGCGTCGGTCGCTCGCCTCGCTCGCTCGCTCGCTCGCTCGCTCGCTCGCTCGATAGATAGATAGATAGACAGACAGACAGACAGACAGATAGATAGATAGATAGACAGATAGATAGATAGATAGATAGATAGATAGATAGATATAGATAGATAGATAGATAGATAGATAGATAGATAGATAGATAGATAGATAGATAGATAGATAGAGATAGATAGATAGATAGATAGATAGATAGATAGATAGATAGATAGATAGATAGATAGATAGATAGATAGTAGATAGTAAGACAGACAGACAGACAGATAGATAGATAGATAGAACTAAAACTTTAACTTCCAAGTTTTTAAATTTTCTGCTAAGGAAATGAAATATAAGAATAAACAAACCAAAAGATAAATAATATAAAAATACATTGTTATATACATCAATGCTTATGTAGATACATCTGTATACTTGTACATAATACATGCATACATACATATGTATAAATATTGCGCACTTAATGCAAGACCATCGCAACTTTAAATTTAAAATTTTTGGAGAAGAATTCTAAGAAAAATTTTGTTTACAAGTATTAATTATTACTTTTATTCATATTTGTTATTGTATAGTGATTATGAATTAAAAGTGTGTAAATTTTTTTACTAAAGCCTGTCTTGCAGTAAATGAACAATATAAAAAATATGTAAATGTTATATACCATCAATATGTCTATTGTGTTGTTATATAATCAGTCTGTTTAACGAAACCACAAAAAAATACTTTATAAAATAAGTTTTTCACTGCCTCTATGTCGACCGACAAACTCAATTGATCCTATTGTCAAAAGATTAAGATCGATAAAATTTAATTAATTTTATACTTATTACATGTAAAATACATATTCTAACAGGTATAGAATATATAATAATTTTCACACTTTTATTATTATTCTAAAAGCAATTTTAAAAGAAAATGCATTTAAGTAATTATGGCCTATTAATAGTCTATAGAAAATTTGATATGCATTAGTTAACATTAATATTAAAATTACTACTTCTATTAACAATAATATGTGACGAAATATTTACAGGCTTGTAAATGTAAATAGGGTACAAATTTGTAAATAACCAAAATGTTTGCAAAAAAAAGTAACTACAATTTATGACCCTTTTATGCTAAATTTCCTTATTTAATTTACATATTTTTTATATATTTCTATAGGTATAACTGAGTATGTTTTTTGTACCTATATATGTTTAATGATTTCGTGATTTGCCATATAGTCAACATTATTGATTTTTTGTTTAAATATTTTTTCGTCATATGAAAAAAATATATGTACTTTATAATGATGAGGTTTATATTATAATTATAGTTATAATTGTTTATAATTTCTTTGTATTTTATTTAAATTGTTTAGTATTATTGAGTATCTTTATATTATTATACAATCCAAAAAAATATATATATAAGTATATAAAAATGATTTCAATTGTTGGAAGCAAAATAAAATGAAAAAGAAACATCGTTCGTTCATTCGTTTTTATATGGGGAAAAAAAGACCTTGACTCTTTACATACTACGTACCCATGTACTTGTAAAAATAAAATTTTGGGGTAAAATCAATATCATATCATCAGACACTGTTTAATAAATTAAGTTTTTAACTTTGACTCCGAATTATATATAACATAAGAGAGTGTTAGTTGGTATTGATCATCATACCAACATATTTTGTCTAATATGAAATCTAGCTTTAGATCTAGTTCTCTATAACCTTATATGGGTAATGTTCTTTGAAAAATTGTATTAAAATTCTTATAGGAAAACTAGTTTTCTTTAAAACATAATTTAAAAGATAACTTAACCCTTAAGCACAAAGTGCTGTTTTGTGTTTTTGGCCATAAACAACATTAAATCAAATTTTGCTGAAAACCTCACTTTTGTTTTTTTTTTTTTTTTTTTGTACCGAATCACTTGAATTCCTCTAAAAACAACGTCGCAATAACTTGCTGCATTTGTTGATGGTTAGAGGTTTGTCAAAGTTATAAAACGTAAAACAGAATTATTTTTGTTTAAATATCAAAAAAATTTAATGCGTATTTAAATATGAGTAATCTTTTAATTTTCCTAGAAATTTTAACCATATTCATTCATACATTCTCTTTCTCGCATTTATTTGGTAAAAGAAATTTCAATAAAAATGTTTTATTTCCAATATATCTTTTATTTTCTACCTGCTGTTAAAGTTTTCATATAAAATTGTAAAAGACCCCAAAAAAATCATTTATTTCTATGTATTTCATATAAGAACAAATAGGTTCTGTTTAAAATCAATAATCAATGGTCGTTGTGCCTTTCGTCGGCAACTACTTTTTATATCGGATTCCACAAATGGAAAAAAATACGAGGGCAAACCAACAAGTCTTTGAACAAGTATGTTCTATAACTAACAGAGTGGTAGAGGCAGCCGACTAGATATGTTTAATTCGATTACAAATGATTTGCTAAAAATTTCAAAAAAAAAATCATTTTCCTTTAGTCCGAATTACAGATAGATAAAATTCTAAACTATCTTATCTTCCTGCTCGTTATGATTCAATCTCTCAGCATAATCATCTAATATTCGCGAACCAGTGTTGGTTAGTTTATTTGTCAGAGAAGTTTCAGATAAAAATCTAAACTATCTCTCAATCTCTCAGCATGATCATTTAATATTCGCGAACATTCGCGATTTAGTTGTCAGAGAAGTTTCAAATACTTCTCTGATTACATCTTTTATCACTAAGGCATCAATATGATGGGCCCAAGTGTATCATCAGTAATAAGTTTCCACGACAATTGAACCTCCACCCCGCACGACCCTATTCCCTATCGGCCAAAGATTTTCAACTCAGTAACAGCTGTATTCTACCAACAGCGAAAAAACAACCAGTGACCTAAATATTCGGACTACTTACTCACTTTTTCTTTTTATTACCCAGATTTCCTTTGAAGTTTATTGATCGTCCAACCAGAAACACCCTATTGCTATCGTAATAAGGCTAGCTAGTAAAAATTCTATACTCAAACTACACTTGATTGAACTTTGCAAGACTAAAAGTCATTTTTTGAACTGGTTTTTAATGTAATTTAGTAGAACTTTATTTCCTAATTGTTGCATATTTACTACCTCAACAAATTTACTAGGTTGGAGTAGCGTTTCTCTAATTAAAATTTTAGAAAGTAACACCATCTTTTTAAGCGATAAAGTTAGCAGGAAACTCACTAACTACGAACATTTTGATAAATGCTTCTGTTCTGGACTTCTGTCTAAAACTTCTTCCTTTAATAAAGTCATTGCAAAGTTCAGTCTCCATAGTAAAGCTTGCAAATAAAGAAAATGTATAAAATTCTGCAATATTACAACAACATTTATAAAGCTGCCATTTGCGACATTAAAAGCTAGCTAATAGGTATACTTAAGGTTTTGTCAATATCTAATAATGATTAAGAAAAAGTTAACTAAATATTAAAACAAAAAAGCCTATACTTATGTATTGTAAATTGTATTGTAAATTAATATTCAATAATTTATTGTTATTTTAAGTATCTTTCAAATAACCTTTAATAAACTTAAAACGCAAAAAGATAAAAACCATAACATTTTCTATTACAATAATAATAGCATTTTCAAGATGTTCTTTTCTTACTATAAAAATAATTATGACTGGATTCTAATAATAAATATTAAGTTAAACGTTTACTAGATACTATTTCCGTTAATAAAATTTGCATTTTTAACAAAAAAAAAATAATAATAAACAGTAAGTTTTATCTGATTAAAACTAAAATGTTTCAGGTGAATGTTTTAAATTAAATAAAAAAATTATTATAATACACACACACATACTAATAATATGTAAAGCTCTAAGTAATTGCAAAAAATTATAAAAACAAATAAAAGATTACATATAGTATAAAATAAAAAACAAATAAATTATATAAATTTTTATCTATTTTTATTATTACAGACACGTATGCAAAGTTTATCACCAGCCACATCAAAATACAACATCACAGCCACATTTACAAATATGATAAAAAAGGAGGGTATCCTGAGGTAAATGTTTTGTTTTTAGAAAAAATATTAAAATAAAAACTTCCATACAAACATACACACAAACACACATACACTCCTATAAAAATCAACAAAATTCCCGAAAACCTTTAAACACAAAATGTTTTGAAGAAACGAAACCAAACCAAAACCATTGTTTTATTAATTTTAGACCCATACGAGGTGTTAGCGCTGTTGTGGCTGGTGCTGGTCCAGCACATGCTTTATACTTTGGTTCCTATGAAATGTCCAAAGAACTGATGACCAAAGTAACCACACACAATCATATAAATTATAGTAAGTAATTGAAATTATTTCAAATAACTATGAATACAAATTAATATTAATATTGTTTCTACTTTTCAAATAGTGGCTTCCGGTGTCATTGCTACTCTCATACACGATGCCGTTTCAAATCCCGCTGAGGTTATAAACAACGTTTACAAATGTATAATTCTCCCTATAAATCGGTGGTGCAATGTTTGCGTGGCGTTTATCAACAGGAGGGTATTAAGGCTTTTTATCGCTCATATTCAACACAATTGGTAATGAATATACCAAATCAGACAATACACTTTTCCACTTATGAGTTTTTCCAAAATATGGTTAGTTTTTGTGTGACGATTTGAATTTTTGTAACGAATTTTGAACTTAATTAATTTGTGTATTATTTCGTTTTCTTTTCTTGATGCCAGCTCAATCATGAACGCAAATATAATCCCCCGGTTCATGTCATTGCTGGCGGTGCTGCTGGTGCTTGTGCGGCTGCAATTACCACACCATTAGATGTTGTTAAAACACTATTGAATACTCAGGAAACGGGTTTGGTTAAGGGAATGATGGAAGCCATTAGAAAGGTGAGTTGGTATTAATGTAAAAAATTTATTTCGAAAATCTTGTATATGCAACTACAAATGGGTCTTGCAAATATACTAAACTTAAGAGGACTAGTCTATAGACTAGACTATAGACTAGACTAGACTATAGACTAGACTATAGAATAGACTATAGACTAGACTAGACTAGACTATAGACTAGACTATAGACTAGACTATAGACTAGACTATAGACTAGACTATAGAATAGACTATAGACTAGACTATAGACTAGACTAGACTAGACTAGACTATAGTATAGACTAGACTATAGACTAGACTATAGACTAGACTATAGACTAGACTATAGACTAGACTATAGACTAGACTATAGACTAGACTATAGACTAGACTATAGACTAGACTATAGACTATAGACTAGACTATAGACTAGACTATAGACTAGACTATAGACTATAGACTAGACTATAGACTAGACTATAGACTAGACTATAGACTAGACTATAGGCTAGACTATTGACTAGACTATAGACTAGACTATAGACTAGACTATACACTAGACTATAGACTAGGCTATAGACTAGACTATAGCCCAGACTATAGACTTGACTATAGCCCAGACTATAGACTAGACTATAGACTAGACTATAGACTGGACTATAGACTAGACTATAGACTAGACTATAGAATAGACTATAGACTATAGACTAGACTTTAGACTAGACTTTAGACTAGACTATAAAGTAGACTATACACTAGACTAAAGACTAGACCTATAGACTAGACTATAGACTAGACTATAGACTAGACTATAGACTAGACTATAGACTAGACTATAGACTAGACTATAGACTAGACTATAGACTACTAGACTAGACTATAGACTAGACTATAGACTAGACTATAGACTAGACTATAGACTAGACTATAGACTAGACTATAGACTAGACTATAGAATAGACTATAGACTAGTCTATAGACTAGACTATAGACTAGACTATAGACTAGACTATAGACTAGACTATAGACTAGACTATAGACTAGACTATAGACTAGACTATAGACTAGACTATAGACTAGACTATAGACTAGACTATAGACTAGGCTATAGAGTCTATAGTCTAGTCAATAGTATAGACTAGGCTATAGACTAGACTATAGAATAGACTATAGACTAAACTACAGATTAGATTATAGAATAGACTATAGACTAAACTACAGATTAGACTATAGACTAAACTACAGATTAGACTATAGACTAGACTAAAACTATAAAAACTTTCAAACTAATTGTTTCATCCAAATTTCTAAATTCCCATCCAGATATATGCAGTGGCTGGTCCTCTCGGCTTCTTTAAGGGTTTAACGGCTCGTGTCCTTTATGCAATGCCAGCGAATGCTATTTGTTGGTCCACTTATGAATTTTTCAAATTCTATTTATGTGGCATCGATCGTGATCACTACAAATCGACAATAACGGGTAAAAATGCGCTGCAACCACGTAAAACCTCCACTTCCGATGTAGTTGGCGATATACACATACCTAATGCATATCTTATGGTACCAGTGCCCGAAACTAGCGAAGAATTTAAGAATCCCAAAGAATCATCAACACCACCACCACAACAGCCTCATACACCAGCCACTACTACAGCCCTACCTACTGGTCCCATTAAAACAGTTTGTGAACTGTCCACCAGCGTTACATCACCCACCCTTAATCTGACCACTAGACATACAGATGTTAAAAGTCCCTTCGACAGAGGATTCTCAAGTCCATAAGCACAAAACATAAATTATTGAACAAATTAAAAAATATATTCCCAACGTTTGTTAATAATTGCTTAAGCTCCCTTAATATAACAACTTACACACCTGCCTAACAACAACAACAATTATAAAATAAGAAAAGAGAACACAGTCCTTGATAAAAACTTTGTTATGTAAATCAACGAAAACTTATGCTCATTTTTTGGAACAAGATGACTCGCCTGTGAGTTCCAGCAGCATCTTGTTGAAAACACTGTTTGTTCTGATTGTTTGTTAGTATTCGCTGCAGCAATCTAAACGTTAAGGGAATATATTTATCACATTAAAATGAGCATACAATGATGGATGTGATGCGTGTGTTTTTTGTACATGTGTAAAAAAATACAAGATCTAAAAGCGTGTATTTATTGTAAAATATTTAAGCTGAAAAAAAAAAACAACTGTATTGCAAAACCTAGTTTTGCCTTAAAAAAGCAACCCTGTAACCTTTGGCTTTGCATTTTAAAGATTTTTATTTGTTAAATAATACCACAAAATAACAGCTTTCTCCAGCTTCCATCCTTCTGTACCCCTCCTCCTAAGAAAACCCTCTTTAACTTTCGAATGCATAGTCACAAGTGTGGTGATTTTTTATTATTATTATTATTATAATTATATATTTTTAAAAATCAAAAACTATTCTGTCATGTAATATAGTATATTATTAAAACAAAGAAAAACAAATAAAATCCTTATCGTTATTATTATTATTATTATTTTTTTTTTTTTTAATTCATTATTATTATACTATATACAATATAAACAAAAAAATCTATGTATATGTATGTTATATAATTAGAAAATAAAAAAAAAACAACCAACAAAGAAAACAATAATTTAAACAAGAAATTTAACAAATTTAAGTTAAAAAAAGAAAAAAACTCAATTTTGTAATTTAATTACACAAAAAAAATTAAATAAAAAAACAAAACGTGAAACCGTGAAAAACAAAAAACTAAATTTTCGAATTTTTTTATTATTATTTTGGCTTTTTTTCTAAATTTTTAAAGTTTTTTAATATATTTTTTGTTTATAGTTTAGAGCTGAAGTTAATAGTTTTAAAACTGTTATAATAAAGCATTTTTCCTTTAAAATTATAAGTGTTTGAAGACTTTTTTTTTAATAAACTATTTTAGAATTTATAACAGTTTAGATTAGCTGGAAAATGGTTTTAAAAAGTTAGCTTTAGATATTATTGTGAATTTTGGGTAAATTTTATAACAGTTTTTAAAATTATTTTATGGCGTTAAAAAAAAACAAATTACTTATATAGTTTTTTATTAAGTTTTGGATAATTGTTTGGAAAGAAATTTATAACAGTTTTTAAAAGCATTTCTTATTGAGTAAAATTTATTGCAAATTTTACATAAAAGTCTCTTTATAACACTTAAAAATTGTTAAATTCAGATAAATTTAAATAATTTTAATTAACAAACTATAAACTTTAAAATTTTGTTATAAAAAATTATTATTATTTAAACATTATAACAGTTTTAAGACAGTTTGTACATTATTTTCAAAACTGTTGTAATGTAGAACAGTTTTATGTAAAACAGTTACAAATTTAACAGATAATAATATGTACAACAGTTTAAAAACTATTAACTATTATACTCTTATTAAAAACTGTTTCTTTCTTGTTGAGTTAAATTAATTGCAAGTTTTACACAAAAGTCTGTGTATAACCCTTAAAAAATTGTTATAATTCAGTTAAATTTAAATAATTTTATCACCAAACTATAAACATTAAAATTTTGTTAAAAAAGATGATTATTTTAAAACATTATAACAGTTATAAAACTGCTTGTATAGCAATTTCAAAGCAGTCGTTATTTATAACAGTTTTCAAGACAGCTGTTATGTATTGGTTAATTTAACAGATAATAATATGTATAACAATTTGAAAACTGTTATACTCTTATTAAAACAGCTTCAGAACTTGTATACTCTTATGTAAATAACTTTAAATCTGTTATACTATTATGTATAACTGTTTTGAATCTATTATGCCTAATATAGCAGTGTTAAAACTGTTATACGGAAAGTAATTTACAACAGTTTGAAAACTATTATACTGTTATAGAAAACACTACAAAAATTGTTATACTCTTAAGTAAAATAGTTTGAAAACTGTTAAACGGATTATATAAACGTTTGAAAACTGTTATACTCTTATAAAAACTGTTTGTGCACTATATACTCTTAGCTAAACAGTTTTAAAACTGTTATGTATAACAGTTTTGGAGTTATGGAACTTTTTATACCAGCGTTAAAACTGTTATACGGTTATTTATTACAGTTAAGAAAATAGCTTAAAAACTGTTATACTGATAAACATTTTGATACTGGACAGGCCGAAAATTGTTAAACTCTTAAGTGAAATAGTTTGAAAACTGTTTAACGTTCGAATACTGTTATACGATTATGTATATACGTTTTGAAACTGTTATATTGTAAAACAGTTTAAAAATTTGCCATTTTTCGTACAACATTTTTAAAAATTTTATATTTTTTATTATTTTATTTAAAATTGCCTTTAATTATAAGTGTTTTTTTTATAATTTGACGAACTTACCCCCAGTTTATTTAAGCCTTGTTTAAGTTTTATGAAAATTAAGAAAAAACAATCGAAATATGCATACAAAATTCCACACACTGATATTAGCAATGAGTTTAAAAAAAAATCCTTAAAGAATTTCGTAAAATTTTTATATAAAAACGCTATAAACTTCGATTTCAACAAAAAATTATAACTTTTGTTTAATATTAAGTTTAAAACCCATTGCTAATACTTAATAATAAATCAGCCAAACCTTAAACCAGCTTAATAACTTTTAAAAAAACCTTAAAACCCCAGTGAAATTTATTTAATATAAAATAAACAAACAAAAAACAATATTCGAATAATAAATACTATTACTAAATATTACTACCATTAGAAATTTTCTTAAAGAAATAAAAACAAAAAAAATCAACAATTTTAAATTGTAACCTTAAAAATTGATTTTCAATGTTACTATTATTATTTTTATTATAAATTTTTTTTGTTAAAATTGCTTTTCCTTTTAAAACCCACATAAATTGTTAATCAATGATTTCAATTTAATTTGTCTTTGTTAATACAAAAAAAAAAACAAAACTTCTTTAACTATGTTTAATTATATTGTATTGTATTAAAATTAAAAAAACTTGTTATTTATATTATTTAGTAATAAAACAAATATTACTACTTTCTTAACAATAATATTATTAGTAATATACATAATTATTATAGTAATTTACTTATTAATAAAAGGAAAAAAACCTAAATTTAAACTTATTACAAAAAAAAAAAATTGTTATCGTAAAACGACACTCAAACACACACACACAGACAGACAAAACACTACAAGAATTAATACTGTAAAATATTATATAAAATTTAAAACAAAAATGAAAGAACTTTAACAATAAACAAAAAAGAAATAAATAAAATTGTTTTTATGTCAATTATAAGTAAAAAATACATGAACAAATGCCTTTTTAATAAAAATGAGAAAAGTATACAGGTCAAAATTGCTTTTCGAAAATGCATAATTTAATTGAAATTAAATTACAGTTTTATATATAAATGCAGAATAGGAGTGAATATCATATATGACCCCAGATTTATCAGATTTTTGGTGGGACATAGATTTAGTTAATTAGTTTGAAAGTACACATACATCAAATCCGATGAAATACACCTAGACCTCTATCGAACAGAACAGGGTCCAACTTACTGCACACGCGATCGATTTATCGTTATAGAATAAGAAAATAACTTAAAAGATAAAATATGCTAGATTTCTTGTTGGATATGTCATCTCAAAAAGTAACATTACGATCAATTAGTGTTATTGTAGTGTTATTGATTCCGCCTAAATCTATTTAATTTTAAAGTAAAGTTTTTGCAAATCCCATAGATTTTTATCAACTAAAATGGATTGCAAGCAGTAGTCTTTTAAGACTCATAAAACTAATTCAAATCATTAAAGATCGAGCATCCTAATAAAGTTTAATACATTTCAAGACAATTTTGGAGGACTCTTATTTTTATTAATTTCTTAAATATGTTAAAATTCGATAATTACAAAAGAAACACTCACCTTTGAGAATCCACTATGGATCAGCTGCTGGACTTGTGAATTACACACATACTTGCGGGTTCCTCCTATAACCTAAACACTCACTTTTTACTCCATTAGGTAAACACCTTCCAATCCAATAAGAACTGTTATCTTTTAAATCCTCTTTACGCACTTCACTTGATTCTTTAACAGGCCATTTCTGATTTCTTTTATATTTTTTCACTTATTTTACTTTTTTATTTTTAAATTTGATATTTATTTTACTTTTATATTTTTTTCACTTATTTTACTTTATTTTTATTTTCTTTTCATTCTTTTTACAAAACTTTGAACAAACACTTTAATATTTACTTTGCATTAAAAAAATACTTTAAATGAACTGATTCCTGCAAGTACTCTACTAATGGACTATAATCATTTAATAAGAACCAACAAAGCACTTGGCTCCAACTTTTATTTATTTGTTTCCAAAAGTATGCTGCAAGCCTTTCCATGATTTTTTTTATAAACTCTAAGCAAGTGGTCTCTTTAGTCACACTACTGATGGTGCTTCCTTTTTTTACCACATAAACTTTTCATTACAGCACCAGCAGACTAAAGTTTACAAAATTCCAAAAAAAAATCCAATTGCCAAATTCTACAAGCCGGCAAAATGTTTGCCAAACTTTTTTTCCATTTAATTTTTTAGCCAAAACTTTAACATTTCCCTGCAAATTTTTACATAAACCCATAATATAATTATTAAACTTTATGTAACAATATATTTAATTTAATTTTAACACTTAATTTATTCATTTTTTATTAAATAAAACATAAGCTTAGCCGTTAATTAACCTGTTGCAAAACTAATAAAACCGCGAACTAATTTGACAATTTGTTGACGTCTGCTTACAGACAGAGATGTTATAAAGAAGAAGCACCATAACTAAAACAGAGTTGTTTGTATAACTAACGGAAGAGATAGATTTAAATAGCAGAGTTGCAAAAATATGGCAATGGGGTGATTAAAGAAGGTAGTAATTAAAACGGAAAAAGAATGATAAAAGACAAGACATGGAACCGATAAAGGAAATGAAAACAAATGCAGACAAGTTTAAATAATCGGAAATAGAAGAACAAATTGATATTTTTTAAAACCTTGACAAAAATTAACAACTTTAATTTCCAAAATATAATTGTGTATAAGAAAATTTTCTCCAACATTTTTGTTTAAATTTACAAAATGAGACCCAAATAAATACTTTAACAAAATCCCCCCGATGATGCAGTAATCATCTAGCTTTTTATATTTTAATTTTAAATTTGTTTACCCATCCTAAACATTATACTACATTTTCAAAGTTCTATGATTAC